GGGGGGGCGAGGGGCGAGGAGGGGAGCCGAGCCCGGAGTGCAGCCTTGCAGCCATGGGCTGGTCTTATTTTGCAGAAGTGGGTGTGCCAAGGAGACAGCTCAACAGGTCTCGACACATTTCTCTGAAAACTATACTTTGCAAAGGAGAATTTGTTGTAATCCGGCAGTTTTAAGTATTCGCAGCTTTTTCCTCCTTTGGGCAGACTCTTGCATCTGATTTTTGACACGTTTCCTACGCTGGATGGTTCGCTGCTTTTTTTGACGTTGGGGAAATTGTCAAATGGAATAACTACATTTTTCCTCCCCTTAACTCCATTTATTTAAAAAAAAAAAAAAAAAAGGCAAAACTGGGGGTAGATAGATACAATTTTTTTTCCAGTCACTGTTGCGGTGTCCACCTTAAACGGCCCAGCAATATTTCTGTGCCGTTCGCAGTCCGTGAGATTTCGGGGGGCTGCCCCGTTCCTGTTTTGCGCCGCGTGCCGTGGTCCCGGCTGGCAGGCGGCTGGCGGGCGCACGGCTCCCCAGGCGTGACCCAGGAGACCCGGCACCTCGGCAGGCACGGGTAAGGGACCCTCTGCTTGGGCACACAGAAAGGCTGTACAAAGTGGTGTTGAAGGACCAAGGGTTTTTGTGTTGAGCTTCTCCCGCTTGGGACGCTTTCACCTGCGCCAGAGCTTAAAATTTTTACTCGTGGGGACTTTTTGTGGATCGCAGTCTTAACTTTGGCATACAGAAAGCAAGCAGCGTTCGTCAGCAGTCTGGAGAAAATGGGCGGCAGAGGTGACGGGTTTATAATTAAGATGACCGTAAACTTGTTGTGAGCGCTCTTGGGTCGCTCTGCTTAATGGATAATTCCGTGGCCAGGCTTTAACTTGGGCATTGCCTCCTCTTACGGACTGGGGGGGAGTGCGAGCTGATCGCTGTTGGCTGTTTGCTGTTAGTGTTAGGCCGTAGACAAACAGTATAGAAAGTTTGCCTAAGAATTTACAGTTATTCTCCAAATATTTATGCTCTGTGCTGAAAATAAATGTAGTAAATACAAACAGATGAAACTTAGGAGATTTGTTTTCAGTGTTAGATGTGTTTGGAGAATAGCTGTGAGCTGTTAAAGTGTTGGAAGCTAATAAAAATTCTACTTTATTTTTAGTTAGCTTTTATTTATAAATTTGAGATTTATTTAAAGAATTGAGTTTATTTCAAGATTCACGTGTTGTATTTTAAGCTGAACCTTTGCAAAGATAGCAAACTTTGTGTTTTGTGATGGAGAGGTGGTGTAGTCCTGGACAA